TTTTTTTTTTTTTTTTTTTTTTTTTTTTTTTTGGGACAGGTTTTCTCTTGTTTGCTTTGCAAACTGTCCTGAAACTAACTCTTTTAGGCCAAACCAGACTTGAGCTCACAAAGACCATCCTGCCTCTACCTTCCATGTCCTGGGATTAGAGACACGTGTCCCCATGGCCCAGCCAATATTCTGTTCTTGAGAAGAGGCTTGCCTCTCTTCAGTTCTTTTCACCGCTATGTTTGCCAGTTGTTACTATCATCGACGTTTGTGGTTTTGCTCTTGAAGTTATTAATGTGGTGAGCACATTCATTTTGGTTTTCAAAATCTTCTCTTATGTTATTGTCTCTGTGTCCTTGTTTAGCCTGAGTTGCCAACATACCAGGGCCTACAGTCATCACTGTAGCATGAATTCTAATTGATCTTAATAATAAAAATTCAGAGACAGCTATCAAGTTGTGACACTGAAGGATCAGAGAAGCAGAAGAACCAGCCACTAGAGAGATTTTGGCCTCTACCAATGCTCAGACCGGAGGGGCGATCCTGTCCTCAGACTGCATCCACAGACTTACTGCCTCCGACTGCATCCAGTTCTTGTCTCCTCCCTCCTTATATTCCTCTCTTTCTGCAGTCATATCACCGCTAGCTTCACTTGCCTAGTGCTGGGATTAAAGGCCTGTGATCCCAGGGACTAGAATCTCCCTTTTGTGAGCTCTCTTTTTCTTTAAGGCAGGATCAGGGTGGCATTGAACCAACAGAGATCCATCTCTGCTCTGCATCCTGAGAGTAAAGTAACTGCCGCCAGTGACTGACCACATGTATCTTAGATCTGCACTCTGAACACCAGGCAAGTTTTATTTGTTACAATAAAAACATCACTACAGATCTGAGGAAACATCACTTGAGGCTGGACCACCATCACAGTGGCTGGCTTCTATCTCTGCGAGTGAGTGACTGTCGATTGATGACAGATGTGTGAATACCCTTCCACTGCGGGCGGCAATATCCCTAGTAAGGCAGGCCTATACTGAACAAGAGAGCTAGCTGAACCAGAGACAGTAAGCAAGGAATAGCAAAGAAAAAAAAAAACAAAACTGTATACAAAGTTTCCCCATGGTTTTTACATTCTCATGCTGATCTCCCAGAGTCTCGGATTGTGATTTTTAACAGAATCAGACAAATAAACCCACTCCTTACCCGAGATGCTCTCTGGTAGACAATTTAATAACAGCAGCAGAGAAGCAAGGTAGAAGAACAAAAAGGGTAAACAGAAAGGGATTTTGTTGCTGAGCAGATCCTGGGAATGTTATCTTTTGGAGAAACATGGATTTTCGATGGTAAAAGCCTCAGGAAGACAACACAGAGCTCACTCAGCTGTTTATGTAGGACATAAAGATGGGAGTATTGAGAGTAATGGCAGATAGTGGAGGTACAGGATACAGGGTATCTGTGAGAAACAGAATCCATGATACATTAAGCCAGAGGTCATTTGTGTGATATTTTGGCCTCGCTGGAAGTATCCTTCCAGACAGGTCTAATAAATTGGTCAGCAAAGAAACTATGACCTGTTTTAAACAAGTGGCCCTGCATAGCCTGCCCCCCTTTTTTGTACAGTCTCACTGGATTTCATAAACAGTTTTACAATCAAATTTGTTCCCTCTTGTTTCTAATAATGGTTACTATTATTACCAGCTTGTTCCTTTACCTGCTTCCCCTTCCGTCTCCAACTTTCCCACAGGTAACCATTACCTAGTTGATTTATAGCTCCAATATTAGAAGCATAAGCAGTGTTGCAAGTGACAAAGGAAGTTTTCTAACTAGGCACACTTATTAGTAGAACGGTGTGTCTGGCCACTAGCATTTGTGATTACAGGCTGTATTTGTTTTTACACTGTCATGCAGAGTGATATAGTTCTCTCTCTCTCTCTCTCTCTCTCTCTCT